TGCATTTGAACACTATTAATGACTGGAAACTTCGCTAACTTCTTTGATTTGGTCAGTTGAACATGTACTCTAGGAAAAACTTTAACATGGAATAATAATTGCTAGGATCATCTCCTTAGGCAATATTTAAAAAGTGAAGGAAAGAAGAAAAGGGGCAGAAACCTTGGAAAAGGAAAAATTTTTGTGGCCCTGTCAATAACATATGTAAGTTTGACTTTGTAGGATACTTTTTTTTTATCGTATGTGTTTATCTAATGAAAATGGGTTGCAGAGCCCTGTATTGGCTTTGGCGCTTGCAGCTGATGTAGAGATTGTTTTAAATGTTCCCAGGATCCAATCTAAAGTATCTCTGGAGACAGATTATATTAGAAGGTTTTTGCATTTTAATGTATATGAATACTATGGTTTCAGTTTAAACACTTCAGATTATTGAGTAGTTGAAAGATGCTAGTGACTGTATGGCTTGTTAACTAGCTACTGTTACTGTGTATTATCTATCAATTCAACATTGATGTGGTTGAGCCATTTACTTGTTGTCTTGCATACTTGCATATAATTGCCAACTTGTCCTAAAGAAAAATACGACTGTCAGTCAATAGCCAGCCTACAGATATTAATTTCAGCCTTCCAATATTAATCTGTAAATGCTGTAATTATGGTGTTTATTATCAACGTTGCATTACTGGACAACATATAATGCTTCTCTAAATTTTTTTCTTCTTCTCCTGATAGTCTCTTTGCAGCCCAAGCAGGGGCTTCAAAAGTAATTGCTGTTGAAGCAAGCAAGAAGATGGCTGCTGTGGCAACTCAGGTAAATTTTTCCCTCTTAAATCTGCTTCTTCATGTCCTATCAGAGTTTGTTGCAAGTACATCATTGGTATATTTAATTGCAGATAGCGAAAGATAATGGTCTTTTGTGGAGTAAGAGCCCTGGTGATAGTACTAACCATGGCATTGGGGTAATAGAAGTGGTTCAAGGTATGGTTGAGGAGCTTGATAAATCCAGACTAATTCAACCTCATAGCGTTGATGTGTTAGTGAGTGAATGGATGGGGTATTGCCTACTTTATGAGACAATGCTTAGTTCAGTGCTTTTTGCACGGGATCAGTGGTTGAAACCTGGTGGTGCCATTCTCCCTGACACAGCAACTATTGTGAGTTCTCTCTAGCCTCCTGTCTCTGAAGTCCTTCTCGTGCTTCTTCAAATGTGGTTCTTAGGGTTGCTTTTTCCTTTTGTTTTCCTTTACATTGCTTTTAATCTTTTTCTTTGTTTTTGGGTTAGTATGTTGCAGGATTTGGAAAAGGAGCTACTAGTCTTCCATTTTGGGAAAATGTGTATGGTTTCAACATGTCCTGTGTTGGCAAGGAGCTTTTTGAAGGTGCTTCCAAAATCCCTTTTGTAGATTCCGTGGATGATCATGGTTTAGTGACCAGTGCTGCTGTTCTCCAGGTTGGTGTTATGCTGTTATTAAATTTTGAGATATGCACATAATATATTGGGTCTTCAATTGCTGTTCGTTTTATACATGACTTTGTGATGGGGATCAGTCCCTCTTTGTGTGCTCCACCCACTCCATGATACTGAATTTTTCTTCATGCTCATCTTTTTAGTCTTGTTCGTTATATTCATGCCTTTTGTATGATGAAGCATCTTTTGATAAGGAAAGGAAGGTTTCGATGCCTATAATAAGATACCAAAACTAGAAAGAGAATCTGACTACTTATTCAAAGACAACCATAAATAATTGATAAATCACATTGGAACTCCATGTTCTAAGTTAAGGTTAAGTTTGGATTAATTTCTGGATCTGAATTATTTATTATTTTTTTTGCAATTTCAAATTATTCTCAATTGGTTGGCATTCTTAGTTTTCGTTTTAAATTTGTGCACTGTTGTCCGCGACAAATTACTGGCTTTTATCTCTTGTCACACATTGTTAGTATGACTAAAAATGAAGAAAGAAAATGCAGAATATGGCAGTGGCTAGCACCCAAGCCTTCATGATAAGCATAGATCAAAACTTAATTATACAAGATTTAGGATAAACATAGGTAAGCATAGATCAAAACTTAAGTATACAAGATTTAGGATAAACATAGATAAGAGGGAAAAATCCACCTAAAGATTTAGTTTTTATTTATGCTGAATATTTAATCTAGAGAAATCTTTGCTCTGATTTTTTTTAGCATCCAAATTTGGATCATCTCATGAATGTACAAGGCTGAGATATTATTATTATTTTTTAAAATTGAGCTTCAATTTTTGGGAATATATGAAGTTAAGAATACCAGTGACTCAATCAGATGGACAATATTTTCCTCGCTTTTGTTTCACAGAGCTTTGACTTGGTGACAATGAAGCCGGATGAAGTCGATTTTACTGCAAATGTTGAGTTGGAACCAAACTTGGGTGGTGCAGCTGGCAGCTTAACTGATTTGAAATCTGAAACAACCTGGTGTTTTGGAGTTGTGTTGTGGTTTGAGACTGGTTTTACCAGCAGGTTCTGCAAAGAAATGCCAGCTGTTTTGTCCACATCCCCATATACTCCCAAAACGCACTGGTTGCAAACAATCTTGACATTCAAGGAACCAATCGCTGTGACATCTGGAAAATCTAACATTGACAAATCAGCAGCGGTTGGCACTGAAGCTTGTCCTGCTGTGAGGATTCCTCTGCGCATAAGCATTGCTCGGGCTTCTCAACATCGTAACATTGACATTTCCTTAGAAACTGCTGGAGTTGATCCTCATGGTCGGAAACGAAACTGGCCTGTGCAAATTTTTAATCTAGGTTAGCGTAATGATCAAAATTTGGAATCTTGATTGCCCGTGCTGGAGTTGATCCTGATTGTGGGAAACACGGTTGGCCCGTGCAACATAGTAGTCGACATTAGTCTAATGATCCAGACCTATGATCAGCCCACTTGAAATCTTCCGTTTTGGCTGCTTTGTTGGATTAGGTTTCCATCATTGGATTGTTTAACTTTGATTTTTCTTCTGAAGATTTTTGTAGTTTGTATAATGGTTTGCATATCTTTTTCAATAGTGTAAAACAGACAATCAGTTATGCCTTAACATTTGAGCTCTTCTAAAGGGATACGGTTTCAATTAGCTTCAGTGTATCCTGCCTGCAGCCTTGCTGTTGGTTTTGTGTTGTAGTGAACTTCGTTAGCAGTTAAATAGAATATTTAGGATAATTCCTTGATTTATAATCTATAATCTATTTTCAATGTAATAAGTATGAAACAATTTAGGCAAGAACTTTTATGGAAAGAGTTACCTCGAGTCAAAAGCCTTAGTTCTCTGCGGTCGGAGTTCCCAATGATTAAGAGCTTCTTTAATGAGTTGTAAATGAGTTTTTTTAGCAAATATTTAGAGGGGAGTTAAGAAACGGCAAGAAGTCATTTTTTGTTTTGGTAATTTACCACTTTTATCACTAAGTAGTTTATCGCTTTTATCCTCCATGTAATTTGAATTCCAAGCAATTCAAGGGCATTCCCCAATTTCTGTTTACATGGAGAAGCATTTCAGTCCAATCTTACAATCCCTCCCAACCACTCCACAACCACATTCTCCCATCCCTCTTTCCCCTCCCCACCCAACACGCTCCCTACCCTATAGCCACCCCCCAACCACCTTCTCCCCTCCAACCTCCCCCTCCCAACCCAACATTTTGCTCCCTCGCTCCACAACCACCTTTTCCCCTATCTCTTTCTATTATCAAACTCCTACCCTAATTCCATGCATTGCCCAAACCTCTTCTCATGAACCCAAATTCCCAAAAACAAAAAGCAAGAGATTAAGACTAAAAAGTCACACAACTTTTTATTCAAGATTGGAGGTTAGGAACTTTGAGACTTGAAAGTAGAAAATTTGATCAATTGAAAACTACAGAAACCTTAATGGTAAAGTGCAGGGACAAAAATGACTTTTAACCTTAAGAAAACTTGACTTCAATATACAACTCCTAAAATAAAAAGGCTTTTATGTGCTCTGGTATATATTAGAAAGAAACATGTCTTGAAAATAAAAATTTTCAAGTGGGTGGGTTGTTGGAAGAAGAGTGGGTTGTGGGAAGAGGTGAGCGTTTGAGTATAATTAAAAACTTAATAAAACAAAGGGTGATTTTATTGGCACCCCATTAATTGCTCTTTACACCCCATACTAATTTTAAATATAAATAACCTATTTTACCCTTGTACACAATTACCGTTAAGGACAAAAAAATGAAAATTAAAATTAAAATTGCTCACTACACCCCACATATGTTCCTGCAACCCTAGTTTGACTTTTTTCTCAAACTATCATGTTCCTAAACCCTAAACCCAAGATTTATAAGTTTATACTGGTGAAAAAATATATTGTATTTATTCATGAAGGGTGAGATTGAAGTTAGAGACGCTTCGAATGAGATACGAGTTTATTTTTTAGTGTTTTGCAAGTTTAGTATTTCATAACAGTCTTTGGTTGTGTTCAGCATATCAGTACTGAACGCGACAGATAATTTCGGTGGGATGCCACCGAAACATTGCACCGTTTTCGGTTGGATTTCACCGGTGAGAAACTTAATATTCGGTGGGGATCTACCGTAAGATGGAACGTAGTTCAGTGGTGTACTACCGAACTTTTACCCTCGTTTTAGTGGCATCTAACCGAAATTTATTTATTTTTTCAGTAACTTATTGCCGACCACAAATTTAATCCAAGTTATTTTGATCTTACTCCCATTGAAGGAACAAAATCAAGGTGACGCCCCTACTGAAGGCAACAATCTGGGAACATAATGTGTAATGGACTATAGTGATTAATTCACAACTTATTCGGTAATTATTTGTCTGAAATCCTTTTTAGTATCATTAACGTGGCATTAATGTTTCAAATTTTATATTTAAATAATATGAGTTTTATGTGTAGATATTCAATGGTAGAGATGCATTACTTCGATGGGCTCGTGAACAAGGAAAATTGAATAATATTGTCATTGTAATTAAAAGGTCTGATTATGGAGGTGAGGGCAAGAGGAGACCTCGTGTACCAGACATAGGAATGCCTAAAATAGATGACACATCATCCAATGTGATGGTCATCTCACCAAAAGGCATGTGAAAGGTGTTCGTTTCGGGATGCCACCTCTCAACAAATGTAGATACCACAATCTTATCAGCATTCTGATAAGAACACCTAATAAGGTGCTCTAATCCAGACCTCTGAATGTACCATTTGAATATACCATTATTTGGATTACCCCACCAATTCCACTCACGAAGGGTAGATGTTTTCGACATGCACATAAGGGGCTCACGTTCCTAGTTAAACAAAAAAAAACAAAACAAAACTAAGGTTAGTTACCATACCAAACTTATATTCTACCTTCTATTGTCACAGTAAAACGCCTTACCTGGTTATTCCAAATTGCAGCTGCTATGTGAGTTTTAAAACTCGTAAGTAAAGATGGATCAATGGGACCTACTCGAGATGGCTCAGTAGGCTCAGCATGTACCTCAACATTACTATCATGAGTAGTAGCTACATCTTCAACCTCTGCGTCAACATTACTATAATCAATAGGAACTACATCTTCAACCTATGTAGTATCCTCAATGTGATCTTGGGGAGCCGCTCTTTGTCTCCTCGTTGAGGCCGTGGGACGCTGTCTATTAGGTCGGGATGATGAAGCTTCAGTAGTATCCCTGCGAATCCTCTTCATATCTAAAAATAAACAATATTAAGTACACACTCAGTAACGTATTCGGTACATAATCATTGAAAAACGGAAATAAATTCGGTGGACAATTACTGAAAAAAGAATACATATTCGGTGGAGTACCACTGAAAAACCGAAAGAAATTTGGTGGGAGTCCCCTGAAAAATAGAAACAGATTCGGTGGAGTACCACCGAAACAAGGTAACAATTTCAGTGGTAACCCACCGAAAGTACAGGTTCAATTCGGTGGACTACCATTGAAGCAATGTAATCATTTCGGTGGCAATCCACCAAAACTAGAATCCATTTTCGTAAAACCAGGTTCGAACTACCCAGAACCTTGAAATCAAAATCAAAATCAATATCAGACTTTGGCTTTTCAAAAGTGAAATCAAATGTAGGCTTAATCAACACTTAGAAACGTAAATATATAAATCAAATTTGAAATCAAACCTTGAATAAGGATTTGTGAGAACTTGACCTTCAATGGCTTTCGGGTTTGCAGAGATGGAGATGGGTGTGATGGTTCTGTTTCAGAGATGGTTCGGGTTTGCTGGAGGCGATGGCAAAGGGCTTCTTCGATGGTGAGCAAAGATCTGCGATGGCAAAGGGATGAGTTCTTCGATGTTCTGCGATGCAGGCGATGGCAAAGGGCTTCTTCGATGGTTCTGCGATGGAGGTTGGTGTAAATGGGATAGGGTGTGCGATGGGGTGTGTCTGCAAGAGGAGAGAATTTTCGGTGGGGTGTGGCTGGATATCAAATGGGGTGGGGTTTGATTTCAGATGGGGTGTGGCTGAAAGGGAAGGGGGTTTCGGTGGGTGGTTAGGGAATGAGGTTTATGAGGGCAATTTAGGGAAAAAAAAAGGGGGTTTAATGAGTAATTTGAAATTTTATTAAAATTTAGTGGGGTGTAAAAAATTATGAGGTGTAAAGAGTAATTTATGGGGTTCATATAGAATTTCCCATAAAATAAATAAACTTATTATTGTGTAAACAATAGGGAGTTTCACTAAAACACCCAAAATGGGAGTTGAAATTATAAAAAAATCCAACACCCAAAACACTTTATAAACACACCAAAAACCCATCATTACACACACTCAAAACCCATTTATAAACACACCCAAAAAATATACAATTGTTGATTTTGGGTGTGTTTCTATGTTTAAATAGTGCTTGGGTTTTTTTATAAATACATGTCTAGGATTGGGTTTATTTATAAATTTATATAAACATTACACTTAGGGGGTTGTATTCAATTAAGATTTTAAAAGAGTTTAAAAGAAGTTTGGGTGTATTCAATTCAGATTTCAATTGACATTAAAAAAATACATCGAAATCTAGGTGTATTCAACTATGACTTTTTAAAAATCAAACAAAATTTATGTGTATTCAAAAAGTAATTTATTTTGAAGGAATTAATGAGTTGTCCGATTTCGTTAGAAATTAAAGTGGTAAGTATAAATACAAAAGGCCCTAACAAATCTTATGTCAACCTTAGAAACTTTGAACGTGCTCTACGCTTTTTAGTCCTTGAATGTGTGTGTTTGTGGAGGTAAAAAATCTCCTCTCTTTTTCTACGTTTTCATACATGTATGATCTTTCAATATTTGTTGTTGTTGTACATCACCATATATTAATGAACAGTAGCATATATATCTATATATATATATATATATATATCTCAATGTACATCATGATATGAACAGCTGCTGCTTGAATAGTAGTTGTTGTTGCCATTATCATATATAGAGATGAACATCAACTTATTTGTTGCTGTAAATATTTGCTGCTGTACATCAAACAAGTTTTATTTTTCTACGCTTTTTCAACTTTTCCTTCTTTTGTTGTTGTTGTTGTTATTATTTGTTTATTCTATTTTAGTTGCTGTTATTATTTTTTGTTTATGTACCTCATATCATATATATGATAGCCTTGTTCATCGATCTATTGAAGAAGACAACAAGCATTCAACATCGTCATCGTTACCAAAAAATGAGGGAACTAATTATGACCAAGTTTTTCAAATCCAAGAATAACAACGCGAGAATGCTAACCAATGGAGGGGTGAGATATCTTCAAATATGTGGAGAGATGCTTTGAATGACGGGAGTCAAAAATGAGCAATGAAGCATATACTTTTTATATGCATTATAGAATTATTAGTTTTTTTTTTTTTTTTTTTTGTTTTTTAGTCAAATTACTTTTATATTTTTTACTTTTGCGTATTTTTCATAAACATGCTGACATATATCCTTATTTGGTTGCACATTTGAACAAAATAGATGCCCTTTTTTATTTTCTTTGGATGTATATGGTTTGGACGTTTTTTACAAAATGTTTTTGTAAAGGTACTTTCTCTTTTGAAAATCTAGGAAAACAATAAACAACCAAAAATAAAAATAATTTAGAACCCTAATCAACTCTTTTAAAATCTATGATAAAACTCTAACAAACACCATTAAAATCAATCTACGAATTCAATCAAACTCTATGTGGAGTTTATAGAAATCAATTGAAATATATTGAACTCTATAAACTTTATAACTCCATTTAACTCTTTTAAAATCTTAATTGAATACACTTCCCTTAGTTTTGGGACACACAACACAAATGAATGGGCCTCTTCAAGAAAAAGAATTGGATTCTAACAATAGTTTTTCTACAATTCTAATAGTATTTTTAATTTTTTTTTTCTCAATATATGTACTGACCAATCTAATTTCTCGGTAAATGATTGTGAACCAAGCGGGAAACGACTTTGGGATTGGTTAGATTTCCTCATCCAAACACACGATAAAGCTATTTTGTTTTTGGAACTAGTTTTTCTTCTAAGATTTGGCAGAGTATTCCAAGATTTATTTTATAATTTTGGACTGGAAAAGCTAGTTATTTATTTATTTTTCTGCTGAAGTAAAATATAGTTTATTTAAATGCAACTTTGGAGGATGAAATGAAACTGCCACATCGAAACTGGTTTATCTAAAAGAGGTCCCACCTTAAATACCCAAAGATTTTCAATTGAGTCATTGTCAAGCAATCCACATGGCCTCAGAAAAGTAAGCAAATCCAACGGTGGAGAACCCCACTCAACTCAGATTTTTCCTCTGCTGTGCACTCACACAGAATATCTAGGGGCGCGCTAAACTCCTAACGGACCTCACTGCAGATAACACGTGGCACCTTCTGATGCAATGCGTTTGTCAGTCGTTTCTTACTTACGTGGGGCCCAATCCTCCCCTCAATACTTTCCGTCTTCACAACTGCGCCCAAGTATTATATAAAAGACCACCTTATTTTACACAACTCCACCTTCTCGCTCTCTCTCTAATCTAACCAGGTCCTATTTCTCTCTCGATTTTTTATTTTTTATTTTATTTTTTGGGTGAATTTGTTTTTGGGTTTGATTGAATATATTTTTTGGGTTATTTTAATTGTTGTTTTAATTGTATATTGGGGGTGTGATATGTGCAGGTGGGAATTGTAGGGGAAGATCTGATGTACTTACTGGGGGATCTCAACTATACAAAAGATCATGATGGCCCTTGAACAAACAGGTTCGATATTTTTTTTTCAAGGGGAAAATTGATTAAATTTGTACTCTTCGCAAAATTTGATCTCACAGTTACTGGTTCAATTCACAGTAAGATTGTTATGTTCGGTTTCTTTTGGATGGCGAATTATGTTATGAGTTTTTATTTTATGTTGGGTTTTAATCTTTTTGTATTTTTTGAGTGTTTGGGAGCAGTATGTTTGGTGTTATATAACGTAATTTAGCTTGATTAGATGCAATTGGGGTGCAAGAGGGTAAAGGAGAAGTCTTTTGATGATGGGGTATGCTTTCTGTTGGGACCGTGTAGATGATTGTAGCCTCTACATCTATTGGGAGATGAATGTGGTAGCATATTGTGTAGGGATGTGGGTTTTTGATTGCAGTGTAGAATTGAGATGCCAAGGCTGTGCTGTGCTTGAAAAAAATTTAGGATCGAAGAAAACGGAAACTTTTCATATGAAAAAGAAATCTTTAGGTGTAGGTTTCTTCAATTTCAGTTGTAATTGTACAATTCAGTTGTCTATCTTAAATTCTAATGTGGGGGAGAATTTTTTGAGTTAAAGCCTTTAATACATTAAAGTGTAACTGTACTATCTTACTGAGGAACCTGCCATTAATTTGTTTGATTATTAAGATTGTTTATTAAAGAATGAGAAGCAGTATAACTGGTGACTCTACAAAATAACTTGAAACTTCATTGACCCCTCGAACCTGCCATTAATGCTCATTAGAAGAAGTAGCTGATGTCCTCCAATAGCAGAAAGTTAACCATGGTCCTATATGCTGCAATGTGTTGTCCAACTAGCCAATGGGAAAACAGGCCTTTATTGTTTCTGTTTAGGACTAGAAATCCCACCAACTGCAGCTAAGGTCCTGTTTTGGAGTGCTTTTGAAAGGGCTATAGCGCTTTTTGACAAACAAAAACCGCTTCTGACTGCATTTGGTAGAACAATTTAAAAGTGATTGTGGGTTATAAAAGCACTTTTTGGAGAAGCACTTGGAGTTTTAGCAAAAATTTTGATGTTTTTCTAACAAAAGCGCTTCTAACAATAACGCTTATGAGCAGATTACTTTCTATAGAAGCAGTCCCAAACAGGCCCTCATAGCATCTTATTATTAGCATGTGTCCTGTTGTGCATTAGTTGTTTACTAGATTCTGTAATCAATTTGCACCCATTTTTAGTTACCCCATCTTAAAGTTATATGATATTAGTTGGGGAAGGTGGAGATCAACATGGAGAAATATTGCATACATAGAGAGATTTTCTCTTGCCAAACTTTTTGGCATGTTTGTCAATCTTTACCATTAATCAGGTAGAGTCTTGTTTAAATGTTCTGTCCAAATTGGCATTCTGGTAACATGGTATGCCATGTATTTTGCTAGAAAATATTACTATATATGTTATTGATTTGCTCCTGGCCATTTATTTTCGTCTATGCATTTTACTGAACATTTGTATCTAGCTTAGGAAGGACTCACTACTTTTCTTCTATCTTTCTCTTAACCAATGTGTAGTAGTCACCCAGGCCTTGCCTTTCAAGATTTTAATAACCATTTCACTTTTCCCTATGTTTGGGCTAGTTGGTTTTGACATAGTCCTTTTTCAGCCCTGTTAAGTGAAAGTTCAGTAACTCAGAAAAAAGAATTGCAGCTGAAATACCCAGGAAGTGGTTGATTATAGCAAATGTTGCTTATTCCCTTTATTGAACAGAGGTGTGATAATCCTATGGGTGGGTTCATGAGGACGGGAAAGGGTAGCTGCTTACTATTAATTTAAAAACACAAAAGGATGCAATGGATTGTAAATCTTTTTTTTTTTTTTTTTTTTTTTTTTTTTTTTTGTTTTTTTTTTTTTTGAAAAAAAAAAAAAAAAAAAAAAAACCTGGAACAAATTTAGAGACTTAGAGAAACCATGGAATATAGTGCCCTGAGAAGTCCCACTCCCAATATGATCGCTCCAATGGATTGCTTCCCTCAGGTGTGGGTACTACCCTCCACCATGCAGTTGATGTACGATTAAAAAAAAAAAAAAACAAAAAAAAAAAAAAAAAAAAAAAAGGATAAACAGAAATGAATGAAAATTAAAGTTTATGCCCTTTCTTTATTTTAATTAAGAAACCTAGGGTTCAGGGTTTAGGGATTTAGAAAGCTTTGTATATCCCTGAGTCCTGCCCAATATGATCACTCCGATAGATTGCTTTATGCTCTGCCTTCATGTGTTTTTTTTCCCTTCATTTTTCCACTTTGATTTTGTTCAAGTTCTCCACAACAAACAAAATTTGCCATTGTAGAACACTCCAGTTTCTATGAAAACCAAACTCCTTTGATGGGCAAATTTTTTCTGTAGAAGTATACCTGGCCAGAAAATTTAATACTGAACTAGGTGTAACATAGGAAATACCAAGGAGCAAGAAAAGGAAAGGGTAGACTTCATGGGAGATTGAGTTGTTTTTTTCCGAACACAACCCCCCTCCCTTTCCCTTATCTGTTTTCCAGACATTGAAAGTGGAAGTTAGAAAACCTAATTTTCTCCTTTTTTCCTGCAACTTGTGCAGTTTGAATTCTTCTCATTTCATCACCCTATGAGTAAAAGTTGTTCTTGGCATTTGCCAAAGGTAGCTCAAAATTTTACAGTTTCCGTCTAAAATGATAAGGCAAAGGAGTTTGAGGCAATGAGGTATAACATGTTCTATGTTCTAATTGAAGATTTAGCATTTGATAGAGTGGATCAAAACTCATAACAATAGGTTTCTCACGGCCTGATTCCAACATATTGGACATTCTGTTATTGGGTTTGTTGATGGTGATTGGTCACCAAATTAACCTATTGCATCGAACACATGATTTGTAATTTCTCTCTTTTTTTAGGGGGATTTAAAAAAAAAAAAAAAAATAAATAGGGTCACTTTGTGTTGGACTTGTACATCATTTCTACCACTTATGTGCACAAAAATGTATAACATATCTAATTTACATTATATATGCTTTAATTCTGTGAGTAATGCACGTTCTTCTGGAAACTCTTAAAAACTCTTGTTTATTCTTTGGTGTTTGATCTATCATGGTTTATGCCAGTGTGGAATGTTCAATAACTTGGTATTTGTGTTTCTTCTAAGTTTATTTATTTCCTGTTGCAGAAAATATGCAAAGGAACTGCGAGGCTTCCTTAAAATGCCTCCACAACAAGGGATTCCCTTACAACCTCCAATGTAATGGGAATCCCATCGAAGGATTTGCAGAGCATAAAGATGATATTAGTACTCACCCAGGTGGGGATGTTGCTGAGCCAGACCGTCCTGTGGGCGGTGAATTTCTTGAACCTCCAACTGAATGTCACAACAAACCTACCTACCATCATGATTTTGGATACTGGTCAACCTTCCATTTTGATTCTCAAAAGGTGCAACAGTGCCAGATAAATGCTTTTGAGAGCCAGTTTCATCCCTTTCCCGTGGAAAATCGATTTAACTATGTCCCACTCAATATGTTTGCTCAAAGTTACCCAAATGAGTTCCAGTTCCAAGATTTTCAGTATTTTGTGGTAATAGACTTTGAGGCTACCTGCGATAAGGATAGAAATCCCCATCCTCAAGAGATAATCGAGTTTCCATCTGTGATAGTGAGTAGTGTGACAGGCCAACTGGAAGCATGTTTTCAGACTTATGTGCGGCCAACCTGCAACCAGCTCCTGAGTGATTTCTGCAAGGATCTGACAGGAATCCAGCAAATTCAGGTTCTTCCTACACTCAACTTTCTTTTATTTATCCTTTGGAAGGAAACACTTTGTAGACTGCTTAGTATACTCAATGTTGCTACATTTGTGATCTCAAAAATGGAAATGTTGGTTGAGTATTTTTATGGCCTTTTGTCAGTTCAATAAGTACTGTAAAACTGTAGTTCCATCTATGCTTGGTAGAACTGTTATTGTCCTTAATTTCAATCTCAGTTGGGGTACTTAATGAGCTATGATCCTTCTCCAGTTTTTTGGTTTAATGTTGTGGGTTGTACAATGTAGAAGGTTGGTGGCTCTTTATAATATTATATGCTATGGGCATGGCATGATTTTGCTCAATATTGGTTGAGATGGATTTTCCTGTTTTCATGCCAATTTCTTTTGTTCTGTTTTGTTTGTTTCTTTTTTTGGTATTTAGTTACACATACAAGTTCAAGCCTGGAAGAAGTTGGGTCCTAACAAATTGCTGATTACTTTGAACCTTATAGTCATTGTGAAGATAAATCCTATAGGAAATCAGATTTGGTTATGACTAGTTTCAATTAGGTTCATCTACTGCATAAGTGTTGGATTATCTAATTTGTGATAGAGGATAGATTGTAGTTCTCACCGTAGCTGCATGGCCAGATTTGATGCAACGATGTTTGGAAATGTGCATCCTTTAGCTGCATAAGACTTGAGCACATGTGTCTGTAGGTACTGCGTGGTCGGGGACTGAAACAGAGTAACTGGCATGGAGGGTACACGGAGATTTACAAAAAATGTGATGAGCGTTATGTTCTACAGCTTAATTGGGTTTAAATATAACTAGAAGGGCTAAGGGTTGTCTTGTTGTTATTGGTGGTCTTTCTAGAGGTGCTGGGAAAGTTGAATTTTGCTGATAAAATTCACGTTAGAAAAACAAAAGTAGTAAATTTGTGTCTTTTTAAGTAGCTCGTGTGGAGTAAATGGTTCAAAATCAAAATGAGTGAATTTTTTATATACAGCCAAAACACACCTTAAATCTATTATTGGGTTAAAATTTGATTTTCTATCCAAAAAGCAGTGATAAACAGCCTGTAAGAAGGATTGTATCTTTCTGCTCCCTGATTGCTGTCTCTAGCTGGAGATTCTTCTCTTCAGTATGACAAGACAGGAAGGAGAAGCTGCTTTTTCTCATAGGATTTGGGACTACTATTCTGAAGTCACTTGTAATCCTATTCAGCATGACAATAAAAACCTATGTATTAATTTTTATTTAGGTAGGGGTCCATTGGTTGGTGCAATGTACAATAGCATATTGTAACATAGGACTCTAGCTAGTCAGTCACTTAATAAAAAAAAAAAAAAAAAAAAAAAAAAAAAAAAAAAAATATAGAAGGATACAGAAAACTTCTCTTTAGACCTACTTCACTCTGACTAGCACTGGTCTTGTTTGTTGGTTCTTTATGCATATTGTAGCTTAATTAATATTTTGAATTGCTCTTCTTGGACCATGTTTTGGGTGTGTCTAGCATTGGGCTATGGGTTTTGAGTTTTTAATTTTTGTGCAAGTGTACATCATTTTTACTCTCCCAACCAACAGTATGCGAGCCTTGACATAATGGTACAATTGCTCCATTGGGTTCTGTAAGGGAAATAGTCTCCACAAGTGGGGTATGGAGGGTTCGCATGGAGTCTCATTAACTGGGCCACATTTTTTTCTTAACCAACTAAACTGGAAAATGTCTTGTGCACTTGCCTTTCTCTTTCTTCTTTTGTTAATTTGTAGTTTTGTACGATTTCCCGAGTTTTCAGCTTTTGATTACTCCATTGACTTGAGCTTTTTGTTTTCACTTCTCATCTTAAATTTTGTGGAGGAGCTGTTCTTTCAGTTTATAGAAGAATATTTCTTTGACTGTGACATGTTTAATTAAATTTTTGTGAAAAAGGCATGCTTTGCTTTATCTCTTTCTTGGGTGCACTGTGCACTTGTGGTTTTACTGGTGCTTATACCAGAAAGTGAAATTGGTGATGTCCTGGATGAGATTGGAAAATGTTCAGGTGGTAGGAAAAAAGTATATTCCTTCTTAGACCATTCTGAAAAACTTGACATGATATGTTAGTTGATGTGGTATTAAGACCGGTGGTTAATTATAGATTCTGTGGTATTAAGACCTGTGGAACTAAGCACATTTTCTCATTTTCAGTGTTAAAGGATGCGGGGGTTTCCATTTTAAAGATAATAATAAATAAATGGTTTCACGTTAATTTTGAGGATTTCTTATGTTTCTCCCTCCCGAAGGCAAAATGCAGGAATACCCCTCCAGCATAGAGATTTTGTGGGTTTGGTTCTGAAAGTGAAGTTTGTATGAAGTTATAGTTAGTTATTGTTCAGGACAAGTGTGGTTTATATTTTCATTTGTACAAGTGTGTTGTACTGGCACAGTATGTGTGTAAAGTAGTGCCAGTACAACACACTTGTACAACACATATTACTGAGTGAATCAAGTGTTGTACTGGCATGTTAATCACTATAGTCTTTGAATGCTGTGTTGTACTGGCACAGTATGTGTGTAAAGATGCCTATCGGAGTGGCCGCCAAAGTAGAACAGCTTATGCGTAATTTTTTTATGGGAAGGACTAGAAGAAGGGAAGAAAAGTCACTTGGTCAGGTGGGAAAGGGTGTCTAAATCGAAAGAGGAAGGTGGTCTTGGAATTGGCTCTTTAAGAGAAAGAAATGAAGCCCTCAGAGCTAAATGGTTGTGGAGATTTCCACTCGAAACCAACTCGCTATGGCATAGGATCATTAAGAGCAAGTACGGAATTGACTCAAATGGGTGGGACACTAAACAGATTGTTAATGTGTCTTGCAGCAATCCTTGGCGAGAAATTTCGAAAGGGTATAATTCTTTTCTTCAATGCTGCAGATTTTCTGTTGGAAATGGGGAGAAAATTAGATTTTGGGAGGATCTTTGGCTGAAAGAAGGGATACTAAAAAATCTGTTTCCTAGACTCTTCCTTGTCCAGGAGAAAAAATCAAAGTATATCCCGTTTTGTTAACACTCATGAGATGCCTCTTAATTGGGATTTTGATTTCAGAAGGAATTTGTCCAAGGCTGAAATAGCAGAAGTGGTAATACTTTTGGATATATTGGGGAAGGTGAGATTAAATAGTTCTAGATCGGATCGGAGATCATGGGAGATTGAGGAGCAGAGTTCTTTTTCCTGCAAGTCTTTCAGGTCTTTTCTTCTCTTTACCACCAGGGATGTCTTCCCCCCTTCCATCTCAATCTGGAAGGCAAAGACACCTCCTAAAATTCAATTTTTCGTGTGGCTGGCAGCAAATGGCAAGATTAATACTTGTGATAGCATTCAAAGGAGGCAACCAAAGATGTGCTTATCCCCTTCTTGGTGTGTTCTTTGCAAAGAGAATGCAGAAAACATTGATCACCTGTTCATTCATTATTCGTATTCTCGAAAATTATGGTGGAGGATGTTGGGTGCTCTCGGAGCGGAGTGGGTGATTCCTAAAGGGTGTTTTGAGCTCCTTAGTATCAATTTGAGGGTTTCGGGGAAGGGGAAGAGAGCTGGAATCCTTCGCGATTGTCTAGTTCATGCTATATTCTGGAATATCTGGATGGAGCGAAATCGAAGAATTTTTCAGGATCATAGAGGAGTAAGGGTTGAGGAATTATGGGATAGAATTAAATTTTGGGCATCTCTTTGGGCTTCGGTTTCCGGCAGTTCAAGGACTATCACTACTCTACCATCATGAGAGACATGATGGCAGTCTTAAGATGATTTTACTGAAGTTTTTGTGTTTTTTGTGTTTTTTGTGTTTTTTAATTACAGAATTATTTTAAATCTTAGTAGGTTAGACACTCTTTTTTAGGTCTTGTTTGTTTTGATCGAGGATTTTTCTTCTTGATTATCAATACAATGTTTCTATTAAAAAAAAATTCTATGAAAATTTGCAACTTTATTTGGTGATAGAACAGAACAAGATTAGATTGTGTTGTTCATGTACACTTTATATGTGTCTACGAATGGTTTCTGATGTTCTTTCTCTCTCAGTAATATGAATCTTGCTCTATCTTTATTTATTGTGAGCCTTTAAATTCATTTGTTGCTGAATTGGGTATTATTGGCAGGTGGATAGAGGAGTTACCTTAAGCGAGGCCCTTCTTAGGCATGACAAATGGCTTGAGAAGAAGGGAATAAAGAACACCAACTTTGCTGTTGTGACATGGTCAAACTGGGACTGTAGGGTCATGTTGGAATCTGAGTGTCGATTCAAGAAAATTCGAAAGCCTCCTTATTTTAACAGGTGAGAAATGCACAGATAAAATAAGCTATTGTTCGTTGGAGTTAATTGTGTAGTAAATAGAATACTACATTTAGGATATGATTTCCCCACTCCCCTTATATCCACTTACACTCCGTTTTGCTTTTTAATACTTTTTAATCAATTTTGTTCCTTCTCTTTCCTATTCTACTCTTACCCTACATTAATTTCTTTTTACTTCACTTTTATATTAGTTCTTTTTCTTTATACTTAATTTTCCAACTTGCACTCCGTTTTCAGTAATTTTTTTTTCCGTAAGAAATTAAGTTTTTTTTGTTCCCTTTAATACTGAAAATGGAGTGTAAGTTAGAAAATTAAGTATAAAGAAAAAGAAATAATATAAAAGTGGAGTAAAAAGAAATTAATGTAAGGTAAGGATAGAATAGGAAAGAGAGAGAACAAAATTGATTAAAAGGTATTAAAAAGCAAAAGGGAGTGTAAGTGAAGAAAATGAGAGTGGAGAAATCAGCTCCCCTTTAACATATATGGAAAACGCAACATATATATGTTCTCATATTGTCCTCTTGATCTTCTCTTGATAGATGGATCAACTTAAAGGTTCCTTTCCGTGAGGTTTTCGGTGGTGTTAGGTGCAACCTGAAGGAGGCAGTTCAAATGGCAGGCTTGGCATGGCAGGGCCGTGCTCACTGTGGCCTGGATGATGCGAAAAACACTGCTCGCCTACTCTCTCTTCTTATGCGTAGGGGCTTCAGATTCGCCATTACAAACTCTTTGGTGTGGCAGACTGCTGATCGCCCATTGACATTGAAGCAATCCTCAGAGCACCTGTCACTGCCACATCACCCCCTGAAACTGAAGGATATGAGTATTCCTCTGTTCCAGTATCATCACCCAATCTGTTTCTGTGGGGTGAAGAGCAGCAGAGGTATGGTTCGGAAGCCAGGTCCAAAGCAAGGGAGCTTCTTCTTTGGCTGTGGGAACTGGACCGCCACTAGAGGTGCCCGCTGCCATTACTTTGAATGGTCTTCTCCATGATTGAAAGTAAGAAAGGATTCCTGATCTTCCAAGATCTTATCCTAAGCTTTTTCTAAAAATATCTTCTGTAAAAAAGAGAAAAAGGAAAAAAAGAGAAAGGATGGAAGTAGGGATTGTCTCCTAGCGGAAGCAAACATGCTTTTAGCTGCTTGGTGAGGTTTCTGTTTCAACCCAGAATAGATATAAATAGTTGGCTCAATTGCTAAATTATGTCTGCCAAACATTTAAGTACTCTGAAGGGAGAGCTTCAACCTGTAAAGCTGACTTGATGTTGACAGGAGAACAATTTGGGAGTGAGGAATTGGGTAGTCATTTAGGAGGATGATGCTTCTGCATGCTTAGAGGTCAAGGCATGCTAAATTATCTTAAATAAACTATGAATAGGGAGACTTGGTTTTCTTAATGAAATTTCTAATGGGAATCAGTAGAGTTGATGTGCCCAGTTTGCTTGCTATTCTTAATTCCGAATGGTTTTGAATTGCCCATGGATTGATTGGCATAGTTGTATGTAAAATCCAAAGAAACTTGGCCATTCCCTTGCAACTTACGTTTGGTTTCTCTCTTTTCTTTTCGACATTATTACGTGCATTGAATTATTAATTTTATTTTTTATGAAAGAAACAAAACAAAATTACAAAGAAGATCCCTATTGTTACCAATACGTCAAGTATCATTTTAACCTGCCACAATGGAAGAAAAATAAGAAAATCAGACACAAGGTTATGAATAAGTTGTATTAGTTTAATTTGGTTGGTCAAAGTAAATCATGTTTTAAAGCTGCAATTTCAGTTTAAATAACAGATGCATGGTCGATAGGAAAAGCTCCACCAATTGTAGCATAACCTTGCAAATCTCTTATAACAAAATCTATCTGTCCAGTTCTTTTACCAAACCCATCAAAATGTAACTTAAAAAATTGTGATCAAGGAGGCAGCTGAGGAAACACCATCGATCGAAACCCACTAGAATGAATTCAGATCCTTGGTGTTTAAATACATCCAAAATTACGACATTTACTTCAGATCTTACTATTTATTACTAATTTTTAAACAAAACGGTACAGAACTCATTCAACAGCAAAACCAAACTCCAATAATTTTTTTTTCGTCATTTCATGTCCACGTGGCAATTTGACATACTTTGGAGATGCTTTTGGAGAATCAGGATACAATTACTTGAACCATAGAAAGGCAAGGAAAAAGGGAAAAACAAAATTTTCATTAAATTAGCTAAGGATTCTCCTACTACCTAACATGGGAAAGGGGGCCTGCGGTGGCCATTCTACATAACTTGGCCGCTCATCATTCAGCACCCCGTGTCATAAACAGAAGAAAATGCATACAACTATGAAGAATATAAAAAACAACTGGATTTACATACACAGAAAAGCTATAACTATACAGCCGTCGGATTATAAGTCAGGTTGCTCAGTTTTCACTGGTGCCTCTAATGACCCATTTTGATTTTGAAGGTAGAGGCTGTTGGCCACCATAGAATCACTGACCAACCCCACATCGACATTGTCGAAGTTGAGAGTGCCTCTCAGCTTTCGCGTACTGAAAAAAATCAAAACAACGCAATACAAAATGCATCAGAGGAAAACATTCATTTGGTAAACCTTGGTTAAATATTAATGATATCATCCATAAACTAATATAATAATAGTATAATATACCTATTCAAGCGGTTGTTAATGGCAGTGAGATCTTTTGAAGGGCTTTGATACGCATGGGTGCTCTCCCCAACACAAGCATAATAGCTTTTTGAGCTATGCGAGATCAAAGCATCCATCTGTGGACAGTTCAAAATATCAAATTTGCCTGAGTTAAACGATTGCTTATAACATGCCACTGAGCTTCACTAAACCCCCATAGCAAGTAACAAAATTGCAATGTTTGACCCGTCAAAGACTGTTGAGATTCAAGATTAAAGTAATAGAAAACTAGTTATGTTAAATAAACTGGTGACCAAAACATAGTACCATAACTTTGCGTTAAAAATGACTTCTTTGATTCTAAGAGGCAATTCATATATGTGAATCAACACATTAGTGGTAAAAGTAAACAAAACAATTAAATAAAGGAAAAGCCATGATTCTAGAGAACTAAACAACTAAAGAAGTACCTTAGATGATCGCAATGGAGAGACATAAACATTGTGTGCTGCAGATACTTTCTTTGGAGACATATCAGGGAGAGTTGGAAAAGTGGACACTTTAGGCGATCCTGGACATTGAGCTAATTGGCCAGAAAAAATACAAAGATGAGCTCATTAGGGAAGGGTGGAGATGAATATTCCAAAATAAACAGAAAATAAATTGTGGCAGTTACACATAAGTTTTAACAATCGCATACCATCATTGTTATTATTTGCTTCAGGAACTACGTTAGCTCTTGTGGTTGTTGGACCAGCAGATCCTAGCTCAACAAGCAGAGATTTCACAGAAGGAATGAATATTTCATTGTAAAATGTAATGACATCAACGTGTTCCTGTGCTGGCCTCTGTTTCCAAAACATGAGAAGGGTTGGGATCTATCCAGAAAACTAACAGTCATATAGTAAAGTTTAGGCAACATACCCCATTGCGGCGTGCTGGAGGCCAATCAACATACACACTTCGAAAAACTAGGGATTTACATTGTGGTTGCTTTCTATAGTTGTGTATGATTTCCCTAAATGTTAGACTAAGTTGAGAAATCTGCAACCAGAAAACAGTGGATGTGTAAGAAAAGAAGAAAATTATTTAAATCCCATAAAACTGTCAGAAGTAATATCACACCTTTGCAACTCCGTAAAAACAACAAAGAATAATCTGGTCGATATGGCGGTTAAAAAAGAGAGATGTCCGCTGAACAAGGATTTGTTGAAAGAGACGATAAACATTCTCTCTGATCTGCTGAGACAGTTGCATCCTTTCAACCATACCATTGATTCTGACAGCCGCCAGCTTGACTATCTAAATACAAGAAATGTACTACGTATAAAGCAGAGGATAAATTGTAACGAAGCAGAATTATGAGGTCAACTGGCTACACATGCCAAACAAAAAGATCTTCATTGGTATATGAACAATATCTACAACACACATCCTCTTCAATCAGGCAGATCCTCTGATTATTTACAGGAAAAATAAAAAGAAAACTATTTTGTTGGAAAAGAGCCTCGCACCTTGCTAAAGAAAATACTAATTCCAGTTTCTGCACATGTTTCCCCTCCACCTCCTGGATTTGGCCGAGTTGGACTGCACACAGGAATTTCAGAAGTATAATACCAATAAGAGAACAAATGAAGCAGTATGTGTCAAGATTTCACAGACGGACCAGCGGCCCACTACCAACTGGTCTAACACCAATATTGTCCCCAACTTAACCAAACGCACATGCAGGTGTGGAACTATTCGCTTATTTATTTTATTTTATTTGGTCAAGTTTCCGATGTGGGACTTTACTAGTTCCTGGGACAGGGAGACTGATACCTGGCAAATGCAGACTGTAAAGGAGGCGGTGGCAGCTTTGACTTAAGGTTACTTAAGGCCAGAAGACGATCTTTCACAGGCGATGTAAAGGAATTCCGCTCCAGTAATACACTTCTATAATCCGTGCAGAGTCTCTTTGGAGACCTGATATCTCCATTCTGACCTGAAAATTAAGAATAAAAAGATGAACTCACCACTTCGGCACATTACTAAATCGTCTGCCACTAAGTTGATATAAATCCATTTCCAATGTCCATGGACTTACGTGGGCCACATTAAATAAAGGGGCCCCCAATAGAACTTCAGGTTTAAGAAGAGGTGTATAAATACAGATAAATATACGTGTATATATAAAGTAAATACCTGGTGAATTCTCATGCTTCTGTAAAGAAGGTACTGGAGGCAGCCCTCCACATGAGAAGTTAATTTGCATGGCAATTTCATCCAAAGATGGCATAGGTTCTGCTAATAACATAAGACGATTTATTTCTGCTGAGAGAGCTGGTCTTGCAACAGTCAAAGAATTATACATCGAGGAACCCTTTTCCCATACCATGCTCTCCAAAAGCCGTTCTTCCAATGAATTCAAATGTCGTCTTAATTCTCTTGGGAGAGATTCCTCATGTCTAATGAAGCTCTCTATCACCTTGCTAAGATCAAAAGCTGTAATACCTGTCCTCTCCAATACTGCTGGAAACAACATTGTGACAGTCTTATGTGTTGCCAGGACTAACTCTGCAGAGCAGGCTAGCATGCATCTATGGAACCTCTCATTCGTTAATAAAGAGGTCAAATTCGTTGCATGCAGTATTTGAGCCTCTGCCCTGCACATTGCCTCCAAAACTCTATAATAAAGTTTGAGTGCTTCCAATCTCCGTTGTTCTGCCCAGATGTTGTCCATGAGGTTAGCACCTTGCAGGCTACCAGTTACACATCGTTCTCCCAAAGAAATACTTGGAAATATAGCCTCCAATATTACTTGTGCCCTGCGTATCACATCATTGGTAACATCCCTATCACACGATGCCAGGAATCCTTCCAGCTCAGTTGAGGGTTTCGATGGGAGTGGAGAAATAAATGTCCGAAGCCACTTTGCAGTTGTCATTGCAGTGCTCACAGGGGTAGCTACCATCTTTGAATTAGCACCACCATTAACATGAGATGCAGGAGAGCGATGGGGAGAGAGTGGACTCGTAATTGTCTTTGTTGGGGAGGCTATGGAATCAACTTTCCTCTATCATAACAGAATATATGAAACTATCAACAAATTCGCTCTACACAAAATGGAAGCAATGGAAGAAACAAAGAAGAACATTCAAAATAAAAAACGCATGGACCTGAATAGTGCAATTTATTAAAAGCATACCTTCACACCAGATAAATTCATGGATCCTCCAGAAAAGCTCCTTGAACCAAGTAAGCTATCTTCTTCGTTGATGAAGACTCTCTCATCAAGTTCACCCCTACTCCGAATTGCATCATCATAATCTTTTTCTAGAATATCTAAACTGGATGACAATGATGG